TACAATATTAATATATATTTTATTCTCGCAGGAAGGTTTCATCTAGTTAGTAAAAATGGTCGTATTGAAAAAAGTATTGAAGCTCATAAAGGTGCTGTAACTATTGGCAAATGGAATACAGATGGTTCCGTATTACTTACAGGTAATAAGACAACTTATACGCTAAAATAGAAGCTGTATGAACAATATAAATATATATATATATATATTTATACAAAATTATAATTTCAGCTGGAGAGGATGGTTTAATAAAAGTTTGGTCACGCAATGGTATGCTTCGTTCTGTAATAGTCAGAGGCAACTCATCTATTTTAACATCGGACTGGAGTCCAGATTGTTCTAAAATATTGTATTCGCAAGGAGGACATTTATTTTTTCAATCACTCAATTCAAATTCAAAACCATACAAGGTTACAAATCTTTTTTATGTTTAGCTATATTATTATATAATAATAATTGAATTTATCATATTTTCTTGTAAAAAAATAACATTTGGTTATTGTATTATCAGTGGTATGCTCATGAAGGTCTTGTCTTGACTGTTTGTTGGAATCATAGTCATGGATTCATTATTTCGGGTGGAGAAGATTGTCGATATAAAGTTTGGGATTCTAATGGTAATCAAATCTATAGTAGTAGCTCCGGCGATTATCCCATTACAGCAGTTAATTGCTGCAGTTCAGGCGATTATTTTGCTATTGGATCTTTCAACATGATTAAACTTTGCGATAGAACAGGAGTAAGTGTATAGGAAATTATATTTTTCCTATAAATAAATAACATATTGCATTACATTCTCTTTTTGATTTTGTTCATGCAGTGGTCTCATTCCTTAGAAAGAATTAATGCTGGGAGTGTATACAGTATAGCATGGTCTAGTGATGGCACTCAGGTGGCTATGACTTGTGGAAGCAATGTTTTAACTGGCCATGTCATAGGCAAGTAAGTTCTTTATCCAAAATTATTTTATTATATACACTTTTTTGGTATAGCGATATTTTTAATTTGATGATACGCAGAAGACTCGAATGGAATAATTACGAAGCTACTTTAATTAAAAAGGAAATATTAGAAATTAGAGAAGTCGGCAATGAAGTTCACGAAACAATAGAAATATCAGATCGTGTAGTTCAATTGGCATTTGGTTTTGATCATTTAATTGTAATCACACCGGTTCAATGTCACATTTACTCTGTCACAAATTGGAATACTCCTGCAATATTTGATTTGAAAAGTAGTTCTGTGTCGGCAGTTGTTCTTGCAAACAAGTAAGTAGAAGTAAAATGTTGTATATATACTGAATTATTATTAAAATAATTATTTAATTATTATTTTATAGACACTTTTTATTAATGGAATGGAATTCTATAACGTTGTACAATTACCAAGGCCGTTTATTAGGTGTACCTAAATGGAAGGGTATGACACAGGAACCCCTTTATCCACCTTGCATATCCTTGTGTTTCGATACTCTTGTTGTAAGAGATCAGAAAAATGAGAAATGTAAATAAAATATATTCAATATTCATATATATATTCATATATTTCAAATACATAATTTACACATACGTGCGAGTGCATATCTTTTCCTATAATAAAAAAAATTAATTTTTTAGTACTACATGTTTTAGAAATATCATATAACAAGCCAATTGTTGAAAGTCAGTCGCATACTCATCCTCAGTATATTACTCAATTGGCATTAAACCATATTGGAAGTTCTAGCGATCGACAATTAGCCCTCATTGATATAACTAAAGATTTATATTTAATTTCCATAAGAGCAACAGGTTATAGACGAGCTTGTAAAATAGGTATTTATACAAAATCTTACACTATACATTTATATTATTCAAGACAAATGAAACGGTATCAATTTGTATATTATTTTTAGCTGCTATGGCACAAAATATGACGTGGGCTATTGACGCAAATGTATTAGCAGCTATGTTGGATGCCACTTTATCCGTATGGTTATGTCCTAATTGTGTACATTATAGCGATCGTAAGATTGTACGACGAACTAGAATTGATAAAGAGAGCAGGTTTAATATATAAATAAATGATTACATTTCATTGTGATTGTGAAATACTTAAACTTATAAATTTATTCACTGCGCAGTGAATTTGGAAAACAACCAACTATTATCAGCGTTTACAATGGTATGGTCAATGTAAGACGCGGAGATGGTGCTTTAGTTTCATCCCAGTTTTACACTTTTTTTACAAGTTTGCATCAGCTCATATTACACAAAAAATGGAAAGAATCTCTTTCGCTTTGTCGGATTGCACAAGTATATCATATCTTTTATGTTCATTCTTTCAATTTATCATTACTTTTATGTTATCTCTAACAGATTTTGTATTTTTCTTAGAATGAGATATTGTGGACATGCATGGCTATTATGGCAACAGATAATAAAGAGTTGAATGTTGCAGAAGAAGCATATGCAGCCATTAGAAGATACGATAAAGTTCATTATGTTCGATATATTAAAGTGATTATTATAAATGGCAGTACTATTAATTAATCAAATAAAATTAATTGTAAGTAATACTAATTAGAGTTTTTATTTTAGAATTTGTCCAAAATGACAGAAAGATATGCAGAAATGGCATTATTATCTGGTGATTTGTTAGCAGCGGAAGGTATACTTTTACAAAATGGGTTAATCGAAGAAGCCATTAAATTAAATATCAAAGTTTACAATTGGAACAGGTACTATAATGTACATTTTAATGAATAACATGTAGTTATTTTATTTTATATTTCAGGGCACTTGAACTTGCCATAAGGCATAAGAAACAAATAGAAGAAGTTTTAAATGCAAGAAAAGATTATTTAAAAACATTAAAGAAAGAAGAAACAAATTCAAGCTACATTGCTGCGATAAATAATATATCGTCATCTTTGGTACAACAGGTTGTTGTCCGATATATTCTAAAATATAAATTAATTTTTTCTTTATAAGAGCATAATATTATTAAATAACAATTCTATTAATATTTTTGCAGGCACCTATATCAATAGAATGAAGTTATTCATGGAATTTATTAATATGCAATAAGATAAAAATATATATTTTAACATTTTATAAATTAATTGAATATTAATACAATGAAATATTTAACAAGTCACTTGATTTAAAATCAAGTATAATTATAAATAGTAATAATATAATCTATTTTGAATTGTAGTTAGGAAAATGTGCGCAAGCGTGCGTGTTAGAAAGATGATTGCGACAGGTGGTTGCGTCCGGTATAAACGATACAGTAGTAATATATTTTCTAGATATTAGATTTATAAAGACGAAAAATACTTAAAAACTATATAGAATATTTTCTTTAAAGGTCAATGAATCAAGTATGAATCATAATCTGATCTATATTTTCTAAGGAGAGATGATTAAAGATGATAAAGAAAAGCTGTTAAATTTATATCCTGTATGTGTATCCAATCATTGGTACTATTCCTTATTTTATTTTTATCTACTCTTTTTTCCTTCTTATTCTTCTTCTTAATATTAATCAAAATCATACAGATGAACATAGAAAAAGAAATGATTTTAAACTTTAATTGGCTGATGTATTTGTTTTCTGCTATTTTAGAATAGAATATTATTTGGAATTAAGGGGAAGAAGAAGATTTTGTTAGAAAATTCAAATTTAAGTTGAAAATGAAGTTCAAAGGAAAGAGGGAAGGTCCTACTCAAGGTTGGTCAGTTCATTAATATGACCTATAGAGTGTAGCTGTAGGTAGATAGATATAACAAAGAGAAGAACATGGAAGGTATTAAGTGTTTGGTGAGTACAAGACGTGATCGTGGCAACGCCCGTGTGCGTGCACGAACGTGACACGTCACGCAAAACGATGAAGCAAGCAAGTGGCAGTCGAGCACGACTTGTACGTGTATGTTACTACATATGCACATATACTACTATAGAATGGTTACAAAGTAGAAGGGGTAAGTTAGAAAAAGAAGGAAGAAGGAAAAGAGAAAGAAGAGTATAAAAGAGAAGTGGAGAGAGAAAAAGAGAAGTAGTCAAGCAGGATAGGCAGAAGAGGTAGTTACGTAGAAACGTGTTAGTCAATCTACTGACGCCGAATGGGACATCCGTTGGAGATATTACAGAGTCTCGATCATCCTCGAGAAACGTTTTTATCGTTATTGTTTTTCAACCTTTTTCCTCGGTTGTCCTGTAAATTTTCTCTCTTATTCTTATTCTAACGTTGTGTATACACGGGGGATAGAAAGAGAGAGGGAAAGAGAAAGTAATCAAGATCGTATTATTCTTCAATTTGGAATCAAGATCGAAGAATTTGAAAACAAGTGGATCCAGGTGTAACAATAAAAGACGAGATGGTTGCAAAAGATTCGAAAGTGGCCACAACAGAGCTGATGAACCCCTACGAGAAACCACCGGCTATGTCTACTGGTCAATCGCTGAAAACTTTCTTTTACAATCGTGAGACTAATGCCTATATGGGTAGGACCATCAGTAGTTGGGGTAAATAACAACAAATAAATATATAGTTATATATTAAATCGCGCGAGTCAGATATCATTTTCGTTTTAGCATATTTATTTTATTCGAATAAGGGATATTAATTATAACTAGGTTTCAATATATACCTATATATGTTCTCTTCTTCTTTTTCAAAGAATGATCTTTTTCTTCTTATTAAATTTCTTAGAAAATGTCAAGCGTATATATATTTGATTGAATAAAATATAGTATTGTGTATTAGGTGTTTAGGTAGATACTTACAGAGGTGGTATGAGAATATCAGGTAACGCGTCGGTCAATGTGAAACGCTGACCGTTTCCCGCGTTACTTGTTCTTCGATTTTAGTTTGCTTAGTTCATCAAGATAGATCCTATACATACCATCCTATACATACTTTTCTTCAATAATAATATATCAAAGTCTTATATGTAAATACATTTTCATTGATTTAATCTCTCGAGAGAGGAAAATCATTTGGAATAGCGAGTAATGATAGTATGATTGTTTTATGCATTTGATTATTAGTATGCGCCGTGTATCATGGCGGTGTACGTTCGGGGCATCGATGTCTTCTTCTACGTTCTACATTAACACATAATATTTGAATAATAACCGTGTGAATCATCACCGTGTTTTTGCTTTTGAAATAGGAAGTACATTATGGACTAGGATATTTTTTATGTCAATAACCTTTGCTTCCTATTTGTGTTTTTTTTTTTTTTTACACATAATACCGTAATAATTTTGATTTCATATATATATGTAGTTGACGTAATTTTACATTACGTACGTACGTAATTCATTTTCAATAAAGTTTTGTACTTTACGCGCTAATCCTATTGAGAAACTGTTTTTACGATACATTTTCTTTGAATAATACCATTAGAAACTTTAGGGAATAGATATCTTTGTAAGTATCGGTAAAACACCATTAAAGCTTTCAAAAGAGATTATGAATATAGAATAATTATTTATGATAATTTGTTTCCCAATTATTAGGAAAAATTGATTATGTTAACTGGAGAAATGAACATGTATATAGTGTATATTTTATCATATAAAAAAAATCCTGTATACGTATATAATAAAAATAAAGCTTTGACACTCAATAATTCATGTTAATTTAGGCTGTTACGTCGCTCAAATGGAGGATGATTAAGAAACAGGGGTGTGGTATGTTTGTCTTTGTCTTTTTCTAATCGATCGAACGAAACAAACTTTACGAAGCACCTTAATATATACCCGATTTTTGTAAATTTACATTTAGATAGTATTACATTACAAATGGCTTTCAATAATTTGTATATTTTGATTCATATTCTTACGAAATATTAAAAAAAAAACACGTCGGTAATAATTAATTTATAATTAGTTACAATTAGTCATTTTCTATTAATTAATAATTAATAGTGAGTAACACACGAAATTTAGATAGGGATTAAGTACTATTCATTCATTCATTCATTAGGACGTTTAAAGAGACAGTGCATTTATACAATCACAATCGTGAGATCATCACTTTCAGAGTAATAAACTTGGCAAGGCTATATCACGAAATACCATCTCTCATCTCTTTAATTCTACAAATGTACAGTTTCCGTTTTCTTCCGGTTCATCAACGACTCTAACGACGTTGTACAGGAGCCAAGTTACAAAGGGTGTTGAAGGCGGGAAGAGATTCCTCATGTTTTCGTTGATTTCAAGCAATTTCTCTTTTTCTTTTTTTCTTTGTTTCAATTGTATGTACAGGAAGACCCACAATAAAAACTGGTAGGGTAACCAAATGATTGTGCCCTCCCGCATAATTAGCTCAGAAGCCTGTCGCTGTTTGACTATTGCAGTTTTATGCAAATTACACCGAGCTTCAAAATTCACCTCACGATTTATCCTTGGTAAGCAATTGACCTCGACACTGTTACACTTGGAAGTTCCTCATCCCCGTATCGTTGATACCTAAGTGCGTTCCTCTCCCGTGGACATACGCCTAAATATAGTAGTGACACCTTCATCGAAGCTTAATCCTCGTCATTTGATATTTATTTCTTAGCCCCTGATTGATTATCTTATTATATTGAATGAATTTTTGCCTAAGACACAAATAAAATCTATAAAAGTTTTATAAAAGATTAGAAATACATTTGAGAAAATATTAATGAAGTTTACGACAAAGTAATTTCGTCTAGATCAATTCGAAACTTTCGTTACCTTTGGCAATTGTCCCAGTAGATAGTACTCCGTTTATTGCCTTTGAAGTAACTATTACTAACTGGATTGAGAAAAGCTGGGTAGCATTGGTTGGACCTTGAAAAACCTGACTGGCAAAAAGAATCACAAGTTCTAGTGCATCAGCATGATTACACAGTTGAAGCAAAAAATCTTTCTACCTTTGTGGATATAATATAATCTTCTATTGATTTAGCCAGTATTTTGTAAGATAAATTCATTATCAGTATAAAATAATTAGCTGGTATTCGTAATAGGAACATGATTAGCTGCTCATCGGGCTCGATCGAATAAATAGCCGCCGATTTGAAAAAGATTTGGCTTTATAAAATAAAAAAGAAAAAGGCCTAAACGCATTCGTTTCGCTGTGATTTCGCGTTGGACACAATGCTTAGCTCGGCTGTATGGTAATTGTTAAACTTCCTTCAGCGTAAACGTGTACAACGAGGTCAATTGGCGTTAAATGGAAGCATTATAGCATTACGTAACTTAGGACCATTCTGAAGGGTACACCCACGCGACTATAACCATAGCTTTTGTTCGTTCTTTGTCGTCCGAGATCTTCTGACTGGGAATATTTGTTCAAATCAACACACCAACTCCAACGCCAGAGATATCAAGTTGCTGAATAGAATCTATGAATTATTTCACGAACATTTCAAAACTTATGAGTATAATTAAAAAGTTGATTTCAATTTATATTAAACTTGTTTTCCTTTGCAAAAAAATATTACGCCGAGAGATTGAGTCTGACCTTATCACACATGGCCCCGAAAGATGATCGCTCGCGTAACCATCGTGTTGTTACAAAGGTCGACGACAATTGTTGACTAAAGTGAGTCGGTACTGCAAGCGTTCGTGTCTCCGAGTTTTGATATAAGTGGAGCCAAGATCCTCCTATTATTCAATTTATTAATCTTACAATTACAATTATGAGCCTAAATTAAAGATCTTCATTTTGTAAATTTACGCGATAAATAAAATATCTAAGAAAATTTACGTATAAAACTATGTGTTATTAATTTTTGATAATCATTTCTTTATCGTGAAATCGATAAAAGTTCATCGATAGCACATACAGCTTGTATTTATATTGTCGGACCACAAATCAAACACCGCAAAACCTTGAAACAAATAGCATGTGCTCTTGTCAATATCCAATATCTTAAATATACGCACGATTGATATATAATATATATATATTCATATTATGTTAAACATTCAAATCCAATATTATCGAAATAATGTTTTTTCAAAAAGGCCAATCGGTCTAATAAATAAAAGAAACTTTTTTAAAACATTGTTGATCGCGTTCTATAGAGAAACGATGTCAAAGCTATAGGAAAGATGACCTTGCAAGAGATCCAATTGACACTTAATTGAATTGTTCCACTTGACCAAGACCAAGACACTATGATCTTCCGCTAAATTGGAACTCCGATTAATACAATTATCTTACGTTATATGACATTTTGTTGCTACTACTTGTCAATCATTTTTCATGACAACAAGCGTATAATATATTTGATTACAGGAAAAATAGGTCTGTTCTACTTGTTATTCTACGGGATTTTGGCAGCATTGGTCGCTATTTGCTTTTGGGGATTCTTTCAAACTCTTGACCCAAGGATACCTCGATGGCAATTAGAACGTTCTATAATTGGAACTAATCCAGGTAAAATTTGTCGAGTTGACAAATAAATAATGACTTTCAAATTTGTCATATTTTATACAGCATAATTTGAAGAATATCTTGGAATTTTCAGGATTGGGTTTTAGGCCAATGCCGCCAACAGAAAATGTAGAGAGCACGTTAATTTGGTACAGAGGAACAGACAGTGAAAACTTTAAACATTGGGTCGATTCTCTCCAGATCTTCTTAAAGGGTAACTATTTTTTCTTGTCTTTTCTTTTGTAAATTTAGTTCAATATAAAGGTAGATTTAAAAAGAGTGAATGTATTACTTATAGACTACATAACACCTGGATCTATTCCTGGTCTTGGTGCTAATATTAACAAATGCGATTACAATCAACCACCACCACCTGGAAAAGTTTGCGAAGTGGACGTAAAAAATTGGCATCCTTGCACGAAAGAAAATAAATATAATTATCATAAATCAGCACCATGTATTTTTCTTAAACTTAACAAGGTAATTTCTCTCTCGAAAGAAAAGAAAAAAAAAGAGAGAATCAAAATAATTGAACATTGATCATTTTTAAATGTGATCTACGCACAATTCAAATTATATCGAAATATTGAACGATCTATTTCTTTCCAAAGATTTATGGTTGGAGACCGGATTTTTACAATGACACGGAATCTTTGCCAGAAAAAATGCCTCTTGATTTGAAAGAACATATCGCAACTTTAAAGGAAAAGAATTCTTTAGTACTCAATACAATTTGGGTCTCTTGCGAGGGTGAAAATCCAGCTGATCAAGAGAATATAGGACCAATTAATTATTTACCACGGCGAGGTTTCCCTGGTTACTTTTATCCATTTGAAAATTCGGAAGGATATCTGAGCCCTTTGGTTGCTGTCCATTTTGTAAGACCACGTAGTAAGTACAAGGAATATAAAATATTATAATAATCATTGAAAATAAAATCTTATAATTATACGTTTTTTTTCAGCTGGTATTTTAATTAACGTGGAATGCAAGGCATGGGCCAAAAATATAAAACATAGCCGCAACGATAAATTAGGTGCTGTTCACTTTGAACTGATGATAGATTAATGATTTCAAATGCAGATCTTTTTTTGACGTCTTTTAAATATAACATTTGCGCTGTCAATTTTTTTATACCTATTAAGTTCTGCTTAGAACCTAACAATATGCATTTCACTTTCAATAACTTTTTTACGTTTTTTTTTTTCTTTACAAATTTTTTCCTTAACGAACCGTATACAAAAAATGCTTAGAGTAGTGCAAAAATAATATTTTATGGAAATAATCGTCGTACTTGAAATTTAATCCTGATTGATTTTTTCAACAACGAGAAACATATATTTTTTATATTCGGCAAATGAATTAATTTATCTGATGGTTGTCTAAAATTATACAATAAGAAGCTATAATTGACCATAGCAAATAAAAATAGTTTTTATATCGCAATCATCATTGCTATATTTCTATATAAAATAATAAGATGTATGAAGGGATTAGGATAGAGAGAAATTATATAATTTATGTTAAAAGTGTTGCGTACGTTTTGTTTATAAAACAGCCGAAGGAATTGTTGATTTAATTTACAAAAAAATTGTTGTATATAATTCTAAATTTTAATTAAGTTCTAACAAAAAAAAGTCTTTTTAATATAGGAAATCTCTATATTTATATTTATATTTCGGTCAACTTAAATGATCATTTCTAAAATGCTCAGATTTCTTGTACAATATTACTGTCAATTTTCTGGAAAAAAGATCTGCATTTAATTATATAAATAAGTTTAAGTATTAAATGTAATTAAATGTTAATGACAAAATAATTACAAGAACAAACAAAAACGAACCAAAAAAAAAGGCAAAACAACACCACAAAAAAGACAAACTGTACTCTCGTTAGCTTAAATCGATAAAGATTTTTCTTATTCTATAGATAATATTGATGTGTTTTATTTTCTATATGCACAGAAAGTTTCTTTAGCGAAAAACTTGTGCTTTTTTAAAAAATATTTGTTGCACTTGCAAAATCTGCGAGGCGATTTTTACTTAGATAGGAATTTTTTTTTTCTAAAAAGAAACTTCACTAGAATTTAATTATTTACATTTTCTATAGAAATGATTATTGTTTATATATATATAAATAATATATATAAATTTATATATATAAATAACACTTATACAAACACTCATTTTATTTAATTGTAATTATTTTCCGAGTACAATTTCTCATTTATAACTAAATTTAGATCATCACTCAGTATTATTAAGATCATTTAAATAAATACTTTGATAAAATAAATATAGGATATGCTTCGTAATAAAAAGACAACCCTAGCAAATAGGACTAACTGCCGAAACAATGTTCTTTTCTGGGTATATATATATATGTGTTACTGTCAATGTATATTTTGAGCACGTTTTTTTATAAAATGTCTAACTGTGAGAAATTAATCTTCAAACGTTCCACGTTGTAAGGATAGAAGGAAGTAATAGTAATTATAGTTTGTATGTTTTGGAACAGGAAATGAATGTCAACCTCCCCTCCCTCACCCCCTTGCCATTCCACACGCCTGCTAGGAACTAAATACTCGTTTCATTCTGATACAATCCTGACAAAAGAACATTAAATCAAACTTTTTTTAACTCTACCATCATTCCAACACATCCACGTTGTTTAGGTACATTGATCGTAATATATGTATATATACGTTATTTTACAAAACAAAAATTCGTTTTTGTGAAATGACTATAGCGTTGCTTCGTATGTACATATATATATATGTGTAGGATTGGGTTCGGTGCGAAGGTGTGTAATGAACCTACACCGAGGTTAATTCTACTACAAAATATTTAATAAAACAGAAGATAGAAATAAACGCTACAAAAATGGCTCACGATCTTTAGACAACGTAAAGTGATTCGACTTAATTTGACTTCGCTTTCTGACCGACCTAATATATGCTTGTTATATGACTCTCTCTAAATCTTTTTTCCGCTCCTTTATATATTTGCCGTTAGCGACAAGTTGGTTTTCCCTCTACCTTTTGTCAACGAACATATATTAAATGAAACGTAATCCTTCACCTTATACACCTTGTAAACGCATTTGAATTAAAACGTTATCCTTCATCTTATACATCTTGTAAATCCTATTTGAACTAAAACGTTATCTCTCACGTTGTACATCTTGGAAATACCTATTTGAACCAAAAGGATCTTCTTTATCTTACAACGTACTTTCCTATACATACTTTTTCTTTTTAACGACTGTCAGCTGTTTATCATATGTTATTTTTTTCATGAATCTTTACCGTTTACTTATGCCGCTTTGTTCTTAAGCTACTGTTTACCACTCCTACATTTATATATATATATATATATTTATACATGAATATATGCAAGGTGTTTCTGATTCGAACATGCAACCGAAAAATGGGTTAAAAAATCTATATGATAAGAAAAAATTAAAAATTTTAAATGATATTTCTTATACAAATTTTCAATATCGATTTATTAAAAAATAAAGTCTCCTACGGAAACATATTCCATTCTCTTTTTCTGGTTGCACTGTCAAATCAGAAATATCTTTTGTATATATATTTATACATATACATTTACATATAATATATATATATATATATATATATTAAGAATGTATAAATAAATTTTAATGATAAGAATCTTGATCTGCAGAGATTTATTTTCAAGTGCCTTCGAAAAAATATAGAATCTCATTATGATTCTCTTAAGCATAAATTTATCAACGATTATCATACTTTTACACAATTTTATGAAATAGAATTGAAATGTACAATAAGAATGATATGTACTTGCCAAAAAATTCAATAAATTCTGTGTTCGAATGAATTCATTCTATTCATTAATAAACATTGTTTTAAAAATCATCTATCGACCCGTTAATCTATTAAATATTGGTCGCGCGATTGATACATTAAATTATAATATTATATATTTAATTTCATTACGCATGGCTCTCTATTTGTATAATGTTTACTTTTATTTTATAATTTCTGTTTTCTTTTTTTTTTTTAGATCTTCTCTAATTTAATTTTTATCCCCTTTGCATTTTTATAAGTACGTATCTCCTTAGAGTGTATGCATCATTATAAAGTATTTATAATACGTAGAAACTACTTACTATATATAATGTTATTATGTAACATAAATACAAATTAAAATACATATTCACATAAACAATTCTAACAAAATGTATTATAAGTACATAAAATTACAACAAAATTCCTACACCCATATAAGACATTTTATACATACATGTGTAATTAGTTGCACAATCAAATCTTATCTTTAACAATAATTAATCATAACAGCATGATGAATCTATTTAAATCGTATCATTATTTCTTATTGATATTACACAAATTTATATAATTTATCTAATAAAGAATTTTATTTAATCACAGTTCAAATTGTGAAAAACAATATTTTGTAAGAATCAATTATTTTGTCGTTAATACTCAATTATAAAAAAGAAAATAATAAATATAATATTTTTACGATTTATATCAACAGATGTGTAAAATGCAATATATGAAAATTTTTCTAAATATAAAGAAAAAGAATCACACAAACACACGCATTAAGTTTCAGCCGAGAATTAAGAACTTTGCAAAGTATCATTAATGTATTCATAAAAAAGAAAAAGAAACAAAATTAAATCATTAATACACCTCTTCATGAAGATAAATCTGTTAATTAAGTTATATGTATATTATAGGCAAGATATTTATCTTAATGCAAAGTTAATACCTATGTATCGTGTACTATATGTGATTATTTTTAACTCTTTTTTAAAAAATAATACAATTGTGTCTGTATAAATTATTTTTCAATCATTATTGAAAAAAGAATTATATTAAAGAATTATCATCTATGAGATAATTGCAAGATGTCAAAAAATGTTTATATAAAACAGGACCGTTTGATTTTTCTTTGACAACCATAGATAACGCACGTACATTCATTTTTGTAATAAATTATTAGAAAATATTTCTATCTCGGAGCGATAAGTTCGTTGGCACGTCTACTTCTTAACTATTGTAGAACACATGGGATAGATAGATTAAAATTTTACATCTGTCATATACATTATACAATAACATAATAAATATTATATCACGGTAAAACTTATAAGATAGAATTGATCATTGGCTAATGATTTTCTTGAATGAAATCTCGATAAACTATTTATATAATATAAAGAAATGTTTTTGATTAAATAATTTCTATATCGTAATTTTTCACATGCTCGTTATCAGGTATTATCCATTTACGTTTAATATACCAAAGATAACTCTAATCTGCTTGTCCATCGGCACAAGGTTCTCACATTTGAACGAGAGACTAGTCTATCAAAAGTTCAAAATGTACTGCGCCCATTTTCTCGGATTTTCTCGTACTATATTTAATATTCTTCGCCCATGCTCTACACTCAACGTTGATTATAGTGTTTCCTGAAAACCCACATAAATACATATATACATATATACTCATCACTTATAGTTTTAGCAGAGAAACTTACTAGCAGGTCGAAGAAAATGTACGGCCACGAGAGGGCTTAAATATCCTTGAATATTCTCGTATGGATAATAAAATCCTGGAAATCCATGATTCTGTGGATAGTATTCTAATTCACCGATAGTTTCATTATCATATGGATCTTCACCTTTGCACGACACCCACACGGTATTTAACTATAATAGAAAAATGATATAACAAAATTATATACGGTAATTGATTAAGATAATTTTTTTACTGACTAATAGTCATCATTATATATTGTAAATATGTAAATATATAGATATACAGGTATACTCTCGTAAGTAAAGATTATAAGTTATCTTAAGACTTTTTCTGACCGTACGAACATTGAATTATTAATCTTCTCGTTATCATACAGCTTACGAGTTCACGCGTACGCAAGTCCAATAAAACGATACGATCTTATCAGCTTACACAACGAGTAGACTAGTTCCGATTAGAAAAAGCATTGATGAATTTTGGTTGTAAGATTTAGAGGGATTCCTTCGGAAATTATCAAGGGAAGAAAATAAACTCTGATATTTCTTAACGATAAATTCTATTTAATAAATATAGTAAATATATATATATATAAAACACCCCTAAGTTCAGTTTCTTTTTGGAAGAGCACATGGGAAAAGGTTAAATCTCTATCCATGTCCGATACCACCTAACTCGAAACGTTTCGAGTTAGTTTATGCTTTTATCGCTTATATATATTCATGATTAAAAAGTTCATAACTCAGAAAGTACGTGCGTCCGAGTTTAGAAAAATCCGAAATGGGAGGAGCGGGGTGCGTTTTGTATATGTATGTGTTTACCATAAATATTAATACTTAATATACCGATTTAGATTAAATTTAACTGACCGACTAACTAACCCAAGAACTGTTGGTTTTTTTAATATGATTGACTAGATTAATCGGCATATCCGATGGTAGATCTTTGGTATCATTGTAATATTCCGGTACCCATCCATATATCTAAAAAAAAGAAACGTTGTTTAAACAAAAGGAAATAAGTTAATAATATAATTTTGGTAGAGTTTACATTTGTATATGTTTATTTCTTCTTACTCTATTTAATTTAATAAAAATACAAGGTGCTGATTTGTTGAAACCATATTTCTGACTCGGCGAACAAGGTCCCCAGTTATTGACATTAACAGCACAAACATTTCCAGGTTTTGGTAGTTGAGTATAACTGCAAATCTGTTGATTTCTTCCACCGTTTGGTAAAATAGACGGATCTATGTATTCTGTACAAATTTATATTGACATGTAAAATATTACGCGTGTTCATATATTTTAACGAAATGTATATTATCTGAGAGACCTGCTAAAAATGTATCCAAAATTTTGGTCCACCTCTCCACTTCGGTTGCATTCGATGCTGTGTACCAGATTAAAGATCTTTCATCTGGATTTTCCGAAATTGGCCGAAATCCAAGCCCTTTTAACGCGAACATATTTATTACATTTTATTGTATACATTTAAAAATGATCAATTTTATTTGTAATATCTACCTCCATATCTCCAATCTTTAAATAACTTTTGGTTTGCGCAAAAGGAAATAAATAATGTTAGATCATAGGGTATTGGCCAAAAGTTCTTAGGCGATGGTTAAACTTTTTGTAATGTTTGTAAAACCATACATTTATGATTACCTGGATTAGTCCCAATGATACTACTGTCTAATATCCATTTAGGTTTCTCAGTGCTGAGAGTTGCCAAAAGGCCCTTCATACAAATTGCAAAAAGCAAGGCCAAACTCGAGAAGAAACAAGTATAAAAGATTGCTGTGTAAGCTGAAAGAAAAATATTTTAAATATATATACGTATATATGCATTATAGTTCATAGTATAATTTTGTATATATAACAACAAAATAGAATATAACGTAGATCCTTTTTTCGTCGATCCTCTGGTAATCATTATTTTCAAACGATTCATTTTAACCGTCATCATTGAGAAAATGTTCAACTTTTCCTCTCGATCATATACGTAAATTATTTTTAAGCATAGGCAGTTGGCCAAAATCTGTTTCTAAATATAATTTCTTGCTTGAAATGTTAACTCTCGAGTATTCCGTTTCTATCGTCTTAATCTCTCTAAAAGTAAGATTAACAGAAATGACCTAATCAATCATTATAATTTTGATATTGAGCTAATCTTGCAATTAGAAAAAAAAAAACAAATTATAATATCTCTATTTTTCATTTATTCCAACGAATTCTTCTCATCGTATTTATATAATCGAATACCTTTTCATTCAAAATAGAGAGAAGTGGACGAATGAAAGTAGGACAGTGGCCTTAACACTTCCAAGTATATTTCAGTGTTAACGCGTAACGTAAATATGAGGAAAAATATATATATACAGGGTATCCCTCCCATCTTTTATATCTTTTTTTTTTATTTCTTTTGGCTATTCCCGTGAAATGAATACGAATACGAGGAAAGAAATAATATGCTCGTGTGAGAATGTAATACGACTAATTGTAAGTTAACGCGCCATTTTGTATTATTGTGTTTATTTTATTAATGAAATGTTCAGTTTATCGCATGTGGAATATCATATTCGAATGCAAGCACGCTCAAATGTTCACACGCTTAATATTTTCTAACGTAATTGAAATCCATGCGTGTATACATAGGTAGATATATGTATTTGAATGTTTTCCGGGAAAGATTATTTCTACGATTATTCGTAGATTAACGAAATTCTTGTCGTTAATTGTGAGTGGAAGCGATACGCGAAAGGTGATAACTCGAACAAATATATGAATTGGTCAGAATGCACATCACGCGTTGAAAAGATTTTAACAGTAAACTACAAAATTTGTCTTCTCTTAGAACGTCGGACGTTAATCGACGACCACCGTGCCTTTAAATTATCAAAAGATTTATTGAAATTATTAACTACTTTGTGTAATTGAAAATACACTTTCGAAATTCGATAGATCGATATGCATCGAGTTGATCGATTAAGTTTAAACGAAAGAAGAAGAAGAAGATAATTGTACATTTGCTATATAATTAAATTTCATTCTAAACATAAATGCACATATATAGCATCTTCATCGAGCAATTATTATCCATGCGTCTAGTCCGATAGAATGTGATAACATGGAAACGAATAAAATGATAGTTGATTATCTTAACCGTCACGTGAAACAATGGAATGCTTACATTCTGAGCTTTGTTACTCGCCAATTAAAACTAACATTAAGATCGAATCGAATAAACAACATTACATTATGCATAAAATCAATTGAAATGATTATTAAAAGAACCTATATATAATACCGTTGTCAATGTTTTTCAATAAAAACAAATCTTTTGTAAAAAGATCGTTGCCAAGTAACAGTTGGCAATAGGCATAATTATTCGTATCCATTTGAAAAGGCAATTATAAATAGAGGAAAAATGAAAGGAAGGAGTATTTAAAGATGTACGAATTATGATAATGCGGTTACGGTTACATATTCGAATAGAAGATACTTATCGAGGCGCATGTGTGTAATGACACGTGCATTTCTCGTGAATAAAAGAAGTCGATTAGAAGAAGCGAATGAGGAACCTAAGCAGCACATTGTTATTACGTCACTTTCGACATTTTCTCCATTATTTGCATTTTTCTTTTCAAACTTCAACAATTCAATACCTCAAACACCTATTTTTCGTGTTCAAATATTACTTCTTTATTCTTTTGACAACGATAAATCGATATGATCGATAATCGAAACTATACGAAATAGATTGTTTTAAAAGAAGTTTTTATTATATTATACTCCGAGCTTATAAGTTCGTACAGTTTATCGTTTATTCATTTGATTGATCGCTATTAATCGAATCGATATTATAACAGATTAAAATCGTTGTGTCATTTGACGAGAGAGAAGAGAAAATTTGCAAAAGTACGGACACATGATTACATTGCAAACTTACCCCATTTTTTAGGTGGGTGGCCACAATAGGTGCCTTCGACAGAATTGTAAATGCCGTCACGTAAATTCTGCCATCGAGTTTTGTTTTCGGGTACGCGCATGTAATCGAACTCATAAGTACCATTCCGCACTTGTTTGCCCGGTGTACCCATCTCGTAGGAATATCGACAATATGTCGATTTAAATGATCCTTAAAATCGTTCAAAAAATCGATAACAATCGTTTAGCGAAATATAAGTATCGGCAAAATAAAATGAAAAGGAAAACAATAACGGGACAAAAAAGAATAGTTCGAAAAATCGAGACAGTTTTAAAATGAAAACGATAACGCTTGACGACCGGTCGAACGGCAACTGAGAACCAGCGTGCGTTCAACGATAACGAGTAAGTCTATTGCGCAAATCTGCTGCGCAACCTGAGTATGCGCAGACTATAATGATGTACTTTCAAGTGTACTTTATTTCTTTTTTTTTCTTCTTTTTCTTCTTCTTTTTCTTCTTCTTTTTTTCTTCGATCGGAGTTTTTCATATCTAATAAAAATCTGAAGGTTTTATAAAATATAAAATGATCAGAAAATAATTGATACGACGTTTGAAAGTTACAATTGAAATTATTTTTCCCCAAGCATGCCGCCGCTATGCGATAGAATCAATGAGATATACATAATAGTATGTTCTATATATAGATATTGAAATGTTTTCTGAAACCCCTATTTCTGTTTGTTTTTTTATTTACACACGAACTTTCGCATTTTGTCTGTCTTATTACTTAACGCTAACAAGTGTATAGTTCCATATTATTACATTAATTATAAAAGTACTTGGAATAGATATTATATCTCTACTTATTAAATTTCAATCGAAAAGCAAAAATCAATGCTATTTGGTAAGTATTTAGCATTAAATGTGGGAAATATAACTTTTATCACTGCCTTGTTTTAGCTTTACACGGTAAAATCACGATATTTATGAAATTATTTGAATAATAATTATGTTACAACGCTGCTATAGCTTTAAATTAATTAATTAATCTCTGTGCAACCCATTTGTTATTATGCTATATTAAAATAATCTCTTGCAAATATATTTAATCCATAGTTTTAATGAACTCGATCGCCGAACAAAATTGAGTCCACCAATATTGTTCTTCCCCTTCTAATCGATTTCCATAAAAACTATCTACATATTGAATAGTTGATAATAAAGATGGTGGATTAGTCTGAAAAGAATGATTTTATCTTCGATTTATGTTTCTTATACGCTAGCGTTTAAGCGGTAAGGATAACCTACCGTTACTTACCTTTATGATGACGTAAACGAATACGGGAATTAAATCGTCAGCAGCAGGTATACCTCTTTCGGAAGCCATAGACAAAAGGTTCATTATCGTTGTAGCGCAACGAAATACGCATTGCAATTTATCTCTGGGTGTCTTGTATGCAGAAATAACAGCCAATTCTGCTTGTGCCCATGGCCAAGGACATTCGTAATGATAAACCTTTGGAATGCGTAAATCCTTGTGATTAGGCGTTATGACCTTAGCAAGTTTTTTAATGTGATCATAAAGAAGCTGATCTCTATATACATCTCCATCTCCATTTGGATAAAGAGCATTATGATACACCCGAGCCATAACAGTTCGTTCAACGACGACTCTGGCTAACTCCAATTGAGACTCGCTTGCGGCTAAAGGAATTATATACGCGTTGTCAATTAGGATGCACAATTGAAAAAGATTATAAGAGTAATAAAACGATATAATATATCGGTTATTGCTTTATTAATACCTTGCCAAATTGGATCATTATCCATTTCAACGTGAATTTTACTCAAGAAGTTATCAACCAGATCTTGCTTTTCGTCCGTCAATGTAAGTTTCTTGAATTCATCGCAAAAACGTAAAAATAATATCTCTCTTTTCTCCAGAAACACTCTTACAAAAACGGATACGAGATGATTGTTAACAGCATCGCGATCACATTTTACTCGAACGCGTAACCTTGAAGAAATTATTTAACATTTTTTAACATTAATTATATAATAAAGATATGAAATTGCATCAGTTGTTTTTATTATTGAAGATATATATTTCTGTACCTGTCTAAATGAGCTAACGTTGATAATAAGCCCTGACGGCATCTGATCAAGTATGCGATGTAAGGTGATCGTCTTTGATAATCTTCTCTCAAAGATTTGAATAATTTCCTGCAGCCGTCGTCATTAAATAATCGAACGCATCTTAAAGTCTCGTGTAAATGAGCTATCAAAGATCTATCCTGCAAGTTGATGGCCTCAGCCAATTGAAGTTGAAGAAAAGAAACCAATTCGTTTTCCTTTGGCGACCAACTGCTTCTCTGTTAACATTTAAAAAGTCTCCTCTCGTATTATTAATTAATTCATTATTAACTATATATTATAATTTTCAATGAAACACACAACGACAAATTTACCTCGGATGCAAAGTTCCATGGAATGTATTGAAGATCGGCATTACTAAGTACCATGCGTAATTTTCGTTTTGCATCGGCGAAAGCAAAAGAGAGTTCTACGTTATTTGGATCTATTGAAAGTCTTTCATCTTCTGCTTCCTTCGTACGCGATTGATTACTTTCAACGGAAGCAGTGTCACTAGCTGTACTAGGCTTTCTTCTATATTTTGCCAAAATATCATCGGAACTATCTACAATTTCACGACAATTTGTAATTATAGGAAATGTTTGTTAATGAATATAATTAAACATACCAATAATATTTCCAGCCGAGGTTACATCTTCGGACATGATTCTACGTAATCGGTGCTTTCCTATATCCATACCGTCACCACCAGCTTCTCTATCGTAACATCTCAAATCATCAGTTCCTCGTATAACTTTTCCTCGACGATTTCTAAGCGACATCTTTAATTTTCCAAAAAAGCCGCGTTTGTTCTTTTGATCATCGTCTAGAAGTTCCTTATCGCCACGCTCGGCAGTTTTATCAAAACTTATACTTTTTGGAATAGCTCCTGTAGATGCTGCTGGTTTATGGAAATTGGAAACAACGCTATCAGTCACGTCGCAACTACTACCGTTTATTATCGGTGGTGATAATGGCAATTCGGACGACGACGATGCATTATTCTTTGCTCGTGTTTCCGATCCGGAGCTACTGCTAGATGTTAAACTCGTTGTACTTAATCTTACCACCACATCGTCGACAACAGTCAATGAACTTTCTGATTCCTAAAAAGCAGTAATGTGTAGATATATATTTATTTTGTTCTTGACAAAATAAAGAATAAAATAAAGAAAGATACTAACTTCGCCTTTGACATCACCATTACGCAATTTTTCATTAGATAGCGTCGGAGCAGAAATATGATTAGCCAATAACAATGCAGAAGTAACTGCAGCAGTAGCAATATGATTATTTGCTGCTTGATCAACAAGATTCGGATCATTATCAATTTGCAATTTGTTTATCAATTGGACAAGACTGTCTTCGTGGTATGTTTTGCCATAATCTGCGTTACTTATGGTATTAGCATTTTTATCAACATATTCCATTGTGCTTCTTCTATAATCAGATCTAGTTCCACCACGACCAGTTACGTTAGAAGATGAAGGTGATTCGGGAATCGGTGCTACGAGTTGAATAGCAGAATCTTCTTGAATTCCAGGTATTGGATGAAAAACAATTCCAGAAGGATCATCTGTTCCTAAAGCTTAAATTAATATAATGTACAAGTGTGATCACATTAATAATCTTGATGGCAAAATATTTATACAAAATAAACAGTTATTTTTAGTAGAACAATATAGTGTTCTTGTGTACTTACATGGTGCAGCAGATGGTAATAATTCTGCACCAGCTTCCGCTTCGCCGCGACATTCAACTTCTATCTCAGATCTAGTTGTATCATCGGATCTAGCAACGCTAGCTGTATCATCCATGTCCACTTCCGTAAGTCTTTCTGAATCACTAGCTAGTACATCCGTACTCCATGCTTCAGATGCAGTTTCACTAATATCCAACATTGCTTGAGCATTTTCTGAAGGTAATGCTGGTGGAATTTGTTCCAAAGAAGGAGGATAAATAATTCTTTCCTGTTGTTCTACTATTTCGCTATCTGACGCCAATACATCGGTGGACCACGTATCAGAAACCATAGAAACTGTTTCATCTCCTAAAATAAATATATGTATCTACGTACATTTCTATTTATTCTAAATTTCAATACTTTTAAAACAAATGATCTTTTATATACATATACACCACACACGATGACATACCTTCAATAAGTTTTTTAATTTCAAATTTACAAAATTTATCGTCTATTTCCGAACGACTTTGTTTAGTAGGAATATTTGGTGGAGGTAAATCCAACTGTCTTGCTTCACCTGCAATGCGACCGTCATCACCTTCCGTGATTTGAGACGATGGTGTATCGCGACCTAAAAATATATATTTATATAATAAAACTTATATAAATATAAATGACTTTATAATCATTAGCAGAGAAATATGTGCAAACCAGAAATATTCGGTGTTCCTCTTCCTGACACATTGGCTGATACCATATCCGACAAATTATCATTCTGATCTTCTGTTTCTAATTCTAACGAAGATGCAACGCTATGATTAGAGGCAGCTTCTGAAACGGCTTCTAGATTATCTGATGTGTTACCAATAGAACCTTCAAATAACACTGTAAAGACAAATAAAGAATTACATTTTTATTTTCTTCTATCCTACATGTTTTATTAATAAGCTTATACGTATTCTAATTAATTTACCTTCATCATGAGCCAAAGAAAACCTTGTTCTTTTCTCTTGCGTTTCTAAACGTTCAGCACTGTTTGAATCCCTTCTATTGTGACCATTTACCATATCATCGGCAAGATTCAATGTAACAGAACTATTTTCTGTATTATTTTGGAGTTCCATGCATAAAACCTTTGAAAAATTTGTTATTATAGAAATAAAATGTTGTCTTTGTAAAAAAACTAATTATGAATATAATATTACTTAATAATTTTTATTATTTTAATAGATAAACGCACTTTTTGTTCGCTAAGTAATCCAACGGATTCACCAATCGTTGGACCAAATGGAATAACTAATACATCTTGCGAATTTTTATCCGAAAATTCATCTTCGGGTGTCGAAGTACCATTTGTTTCATCTTGAATATCTGTTGTTACATTAGAAGGGGATGAGGACATTCTAGTAACTCGATCTTTCCCTAAAAATAAAGGAAAATATTAATAATTATAATGTTGAAAGTTAAAAAGACTAAACGTAATCTATTGTGTACGAATACTTAGGAAAATATACCTTTTCCTAAGAAACCACCTTTTTTATTGGGTGTTTCCAAATAAATATTATTAGAAACTTTAGAGTTACTGTTTAGCGATCCCAAAGGCAGCTGCGAAAGCATATCAGTTAATTGCTTTTTATCGAATGTGCTCATTTGCGAAATGCTATCCACATTGGTATCATTTGCTATTGTATGTAAAAATGTAATCAGAGTATTCAATTCATTTTCTGTAAATAATGCAGCAGAACGACACAGGCCTTGAAGTTTATTATTATCAATTATAGTAGGTTCTTCTTCCAAATCTTCTGTTGCACCTTCCAACATTACATCAATTATGGAAGACACAGAATCTTTTTCAAATCTTCTATACAAGTCAAATGCTTTTGTATCGATAGTTTGATATTTCATGAGTGAAAGTATTTGTAAAATCTGTCCCACTTGCATGAGATTAAATCTTGCTATATAACTTATCGGTGCATCTGTAATACCATATGGTTCTGGATTAACTATCGCTGGACATATGAAATATGTAAATACAAGATCTGTGCACATAGCGTGTACTTCTTTCGGTTCCACATTTCCATTTTTACTAAGAAGTCCAGCCATTTGTCTAACAAGCCAATAAATACTGGTAGGAAAACAATGCATATTCTCTCTAATACTGATAATGAACCTCTGTGTAATACGATGCAAAGAGTTAACCGTCCATAGTCTATATCTTTGTAGCTTTGCCTGATATTCGGGAGTACCTTCCTTTCCAAATTTCTTCAATCTTTCCGTAGGCTGAAATCTGATGGGTACTTTGTCTGGATCGATATCCAAAAATATTTCATCTTCCATAAGCAACTGTATAATAGGGATATGTAATGCAGCAGTTAAAAAGAATTTTGCGGAGAAAAGGCTTTCGTGAAAGAAGGAATAAAATCTAGAAAATGCACATGTGCAATGTCTAAGAAGTCTTCGTGGATTATCCGAAGGTATTATTTGTAAAAGCATTAAATGCCTTAAAAGTTTGAGAACTAAGATTTTATCTTCTGGTAACAAGCAGCTCCCATATAATCCAGCAGCCAAAGATTGTACAATGCCTTGAATTGCTTCTGGAATTATTTTATCTCCCACGACTAAACTAGATGCAAGTAATTTAGGTGACTTTCGAAGAGCACCGAGAAATTCTCCGTAAGATAAGCATGCTTGATAATTTAAATGCTTGTATGCATCAATAAAATTGGAATTTTCAAGAGTATTTGCTTTGTAACAGCAAGAAGCTGGCGTACAATCAGGCCTTGCAACTATCAGACGATTTAAATTAACTCTCTGTTGTGCTGTAACCCATGCTTGTTGAGCCAAGTCCGAAGACATATATAAAACCTGAAAAGATATTATATACTTTAGCACTTTATATAACATTCTTCTATTATCTTAACAAAATAATCATTATTTTGATTTCATACCTTTTCATTGAGAGTTTGTAAATTCTGTTGTTCCGAGTTAACGAACAAACGTTCTTGCCTTAAATGCCCAGCCAAGTCAATCATGTCCCATTGCAATGTCCCAAGGGACTCTATACTGTTTGCTGATGACATAACTAAAGATAGAAAACGATAATAAGAAGTAACAAGAAACATGTATGTTAAATCATTACGTAGACATTATATTTAAAGTTATCTCTTACATTCTAATCATTTCAACCATGTTTTTTTCATGATACAAAATAATACAAAATATTCATATATGTTTTTGCAAATGAAACATTAAGAATTATAAACTATTAATTGAAATAAAAAATAAAAGATATGCTTACTAAATCAGATCTGTTAGAGACAGGTACTAAAGATTGCAAATGTATCTATATTTGAGTCCTTGAATTAAGGAAGTATCAAATGACATCACAAATCATAATTTTTCTCATTAACACAAAAGAACAAAGAAAATAGTTCTTAAAAGGAAAAAGACAAAAAGACTCGTTTAATAGTTTCTGAAAGACGTAGAAATATTAAGTACATAATTTTGACAATAAAATAGAGGAGAGGAGATGAGATAAAATATACAAGGTTCAACAACAACTATAACGTTCCATACTCAAAGAAGCAATTGACGAATAATAATACGTCGTATATACATATGTAGAGAGCTTCTACAACGTCATATTACGAATAGCTGTTGAGAACTAAGTAGAACGATGTCGTTTACTTAAAAACTATACAATTAGAGTAGAACGTGTATACTCGCTTACCACAGGCATACGTGCAACTGACAGCAGCAGGAAAAATGTCTGTTATCGTTTATACTTGGAAGTAACACACCCAGCAATACGCATTTTCTATTTCAGGTTAGAATTTTCCGATAACTATAATACTGAATTTCTTCGCGACTTTCTCGATTTTTAGCCAATGACAAAAACACTCTATTTCCTACCCAATGGCAACGCCGTGCAAGAGAGAAAGAAATAGTATTACTCTTTACAGTAGAAAGAGATTGCAGTTTGCACAGATGCACCGGATGTCGATCCACAACCGTCGCCAACAACCGTTCCAAGTCGAATGAGGAGGAATGATCGAATCGAGGATGCACTCGAGGATGCACTCGAGGATGCACTCGAGGATGCACTCAAGGATGCACCAGGATAGGAGGCTTTAACCGAAGGTCCATCCTTTGCAAAAATGCATCATTGCGACCTCTACTAATGCAATAACTAAGTAATTCTGATTAATAGTGCAGTAGGATATTTAATCTAGGCATATGTACGAGTGTTAATATTTTGACTAAATTATTCCAACAGGTAATCAAATTAATAATATCATTATTTATTACCTAATGATAGTTAAAATATCATATTACCATAATATTTGAAATTTCGTTTCCAAAAGAGAAAAAGAAACAAATAAATCAATGAATTGATGAAGACGGATACAAAATAGATGCTACATAAATCCTTTTTTGTTTTTTCATAGGAATAATTAATAGACATGATTAATTATTATTCGTAAGAAAGAAAAAAGGAAAGGTTACAAAAATATTGGTAGAGTGTATTTGAACGTTGATAAGTTATTAAATATCCATTGATCTAACATAAGTAAGAGATAATAAATAAATAAATGAACAAAATTCATGCATGTATGAGAGCTCGCACAGTAGAAAGAGAAAGATGGGATGGGAGGGGGAGAAAAAGGGAAAGAGAGAGGGAAAGAGAGAGAGAGAGAGAGAGAGAGAGAAAGAGAGAGAGAGAGAAAGAAAGAAAACGAATGAGATGCATTTAATCCACGCGTCTATGAAACGTCAGAACGTACGGAGACGTTCCGTCGAGCTGTGAAATCCTTTCGACAGCGTGATTCTGGTTGGTCACAACATTCGACACACATATATAGTATATTAGTCTCTTCTTTCCTATGCATTATTTTCTGATAATCAGAGGGATCTCGCGACGTATCGTTTCATTGGTGGTATCGTCCAAGAAAAAGAGACAAGTAATACAAAGGCTAAGGCCCTGGGAAAATGGCCGAAGGAAGGAAGAAGCTGGTGCAGTCAACGAAAACTCTTTATAAATTGAGCGTCTCTGCGATAGCTGACAGATTGCTCATATACAGAAAACATCTCGTTTATTTACCTGAGAACGTCCTCTTCGATCTCTATTATCAGGTTAACAAATCGACCCAAAAAGAGAAGCCTCTTTTTTCTTCTTTTTTTTTTTATTCCTTCGCGATACCTCGTACATTAACATAAAGAACATATAACATACACACACACACACACACACACATATATATATATATATATTATACACATACACTTATAGAGATATTTTTAATCCCAAAGAAGCAATTAAAATAGTTATTCATCTTTCTAAAATCTTACATGTTGTCTAAACAACAACATTCTATATAGGATAATTCGATTTTCTTTTCCATCAATGTCTATCACATTAGATTTTTAATATTTAAATATATGATAACTATTTTAAAAATGTTTTTCTAATTAAGATGAAATGAAATACTATTATTGTAACAATGATTTAAATAATGTGATAAAACGATTTATTACAATAAAATGATTTTAGAATACGTTAAATGTTTTATAACGAAAAATTTGTTTAAATTAGGAGGTTATACCAATGTATACAATATGTATTTAGTTTTCACACATTCGTTAATTTTCATAATAATACGATTTAAGATTTTTTTTATATCAATAACATATTGGATATATATATATTTATTTACATCTTTTATGTATATGTATATAGATATATATATATATATGTAGATAAATGACGTAATATTTATGCAATAATAAATTAGTAATTGTAACATCTTTTAGTTATACCAGGAAAGAAGACTATGTTTACTAGGAGTGGAATTTGGAGAATTGGAAACATTTTCTAGGATGCTCAATGTCACAAATCGTCGTGTACATTTATTACAGAGCTTTCAGGTAAAAATTTTGCCAATAATCTGTGACTTATGCATAAATATCTTATACGGTAATATAATTTTATTACTATGATATATCTAATTCTAAGGCCCTTATGGATCATGGGACAATGGTTGGTAAAGAACTAGCGATCGGTTATGATATTTGCTGCATTCGCGCTGAGGAACACATCGAAGCTCACGATAAAGTAATAAGTGTGGGTTTACGCCTTGGTGGATTTCTTAGCGACGCTGGATGGTATACCGAAAGCGAAAGGGTTTTGTTAGCTTGTAAGAAACTGTCTATTGTGGACGAGCCAACCCTTGAAAATTTATGTCGTACATTAAAATGTTGTTGCAAGTATGTTTTAACATTCATGCGTTGGATATTAATATGCGCTGTAATATTCAGCAAGTTAAATAAAGAATATGATATACATTGTGATGTTTAGATTGTTACACGCGCAAGCAGCATATTATACATTTCATGGAGCAGCTGAAACGTACGAACTTGCTTTGAATATAATACAGCAACTAAGATGCGGAGGATACACGGACAATAATTATGCAGCATTATATGGAGAATTTAGCGTACTTTTTTTTATTAGAAGCGAATATGATGAAGCATATAAGCAAGTATTTCCATTAATACTATCTTACGAAAAACAATTCATTTGCTAAATATATAGTTGCTTTTATTATAAGATTTACTATATTATGCTTTAGGTGGGGTATAAAAGCGTTAAAACAATTAAAACCATCATTACCGCCACGGGTCATAATTGATGTTTTAAGACAAGTAGCAAAATCGTGCGTAATCAAACGAGAATTTCAAAAAGCTGGTCTATTAATCAGACAAGCGGTTTATCTTGCAAAAGAAATTTTTGATACCGATCACCCAAAATATAGTGATGTTTTAATAGATTATGGATTTTACTTATTAAATTACGATTGTATTGTAAATAGTGTGTCTGTTTATAAGGTAAATATTTTTCATGATGTTTTCATTTTTTATATTGATATCTATACTTTGATATATATTAATATTTCTTTTAAACATTAGGCTGCACTAGACATTAGAAAAGCAATATTTGGTAAAACCAATCTCCACGTTGCATTGGCACACGAAGATTTGGCATATGCTTTATACGTTCGAGAATATAATTCAGGAAAATTTCAAAAAGCAAGGTAAAATTTGATTTTTTTTTCTTCATTTTCTCTAATGGGAAAAAGCACATATTTATAATTTATGTACAGTGACCATGCCGGCAAAGCCATAGATATAATGGAAAAACTTTTTGCTGGAGACCACATTATGTTAGCAAGTGCAAAAAGAGTAAAAGCATTAATACTTGAAGAAATAGCATTAGATAATGCCCCAATGCCTTTGTCGGAACAGACTTTATTGCAAAAATCGGAATGTTTGCATTTATCTGCCTTACAACTTTCTAAAACAACATTTGGTGAAATAAATGTCCAAACAGCAAAACATTATGGCAATTTGGGTCGCTTATATCAAAGTATGAGAAAATTTGAGGTATATAAAATACTGGTATCCTACTATATTGCCGTATACAATTGAAGAAATACAAATTGTTCATTTCTTTTGTAATTATATTTAGGAAGCAGAAGCAATGCATTTAAAATCTATAAGTATAAAAGAAGAATTATTAGGACCCGAAGATTACGAGGTTGGTTTAAGTGTGGGTCATTTAGCCTCATTATATAATTTCCACATGAACCGATATAGAGATGCAGAAAAACTTTATTATCGCAGCATCGCAATTAGTAAGTTCAAATTTGTTTCATTAGCTTATCTTAGAAACTTTTATTAATAATGTCATTATTTTTTTTAGGTTTAAAATTATTCGGAAAAAGTTATAGTGGCTTGGAATATGACTATCGTGGACTTCTACATGTTTATACAAAATTAGATGAACGTGATAAAGTGTTAAAGTATACTGACATTTTTAATCAGTGGAAAGAACTTAGAGATAAATACGCGCAATCAGAAGATCAGCCTATTGATCTTCAAAAACGACCACAGCCAATCGAGGAAGTAGTTAGTACGTTTTTTTCTATGTGATACTATATTAAGCCAATCATCTAATGTTGATTATTTTCATTTATTTTTATCGTTAGTTTAATTATCACTTGTTAATGTTTTATTTGTAAGGATCTCTTACGTATGATCTAGAATTTATTCAAATTTTTAAAACTACCAATTCGTAAATCAGTCTTCATTAAATGCTCTATCTATTGATCGGTGATCCACTCCTATTACTACAATTACACGAAGAATAATTTTTTTTTTTTTTTAAATGGATATAACGGAGCAATATATAAACTAGCAGTTCTGTGAACTATCGAATGAATTATACGTATACTGCGTCATATTGAAATGTCCTTAAATGTTCGATTATCCGTTATTACACTTTTGCACATCCTACGGTTAATATAATTATAATTACATTTATAGGAGTTCCTGTTATTGATTTCAAACCAATATATATATTAGTTATAAGTTCAATAATTTTTTTTTTCTCATTATAATTTGTAATTTTAGTATAATTTGTATATATGTGATTGTAACATATGTTACAAGGTACATAGATGCCTTTTTTATGTACTGTCTTTTACTTACGCAAAAGATTTATGTATTTATTTTTAAGAAGCTATTTCCCGAAAAAATTTATATTTAATACCGTTTGCACTTATAGTAAATTAACAAATTAAAAATAATTATATAGACGGGACACTTACATGTGAAGTTTTCTTAAACTTAAATAGCAAATTTGCAAGTTCGCTTTTTTTTGCGTTTTGTTTCTACAATGGAAAATGTGAAATTATATATATATATATACACATATATATGTACAGTAATTTAGAAAAACGTTTGTGACAATTATAATTTTTTAATTTATAAATAAAAATCTTAGCGACTCCAAAATTTTATAATAATCATGAATGTAAAGAAAACGCATTATATGTATATATGTATATATAAATAGTTCACAATTTGATTATATTATATTTAAGAAACAAAAGGTATATAAAATAAAATGAAATTTCATCTTATATGAAAGCGCGCTACATTTTATATTAGGGATTAAGAAAAAATAGGGCAACTGTTTATATGTTACAAAGAGAGAGAATATTTCAGTCAGATTATATTTTTTATCAATAATTCTTTAAGCAATTTTCATAATTCTATTATTCAACCTTCTGAAATCGTATGTACGTATATAATTCGTTAATTTCATTTTCTTATATAATCAAGGCCACGAAGCAGGGAGGTCGTAAAATTGGTTAGACTTTAATATATTTCACTCTTGTCAGAACAAATAAATAAATAGAAATATATAAGAGTAGATAAAGATTCGATATCGTGGTTAACATAGTTCAGCGTTCAACTATGAGTAAATTATAGTTTTTTTATTACGAAAAGAATAATTCTATAATTTATTGTTAATTATGTTAAATTTTAAAGATTATTTTTTAAAACAAAAGTAATATACTTGATTCTTTAGAATAATTTAAATTGAATTACATTTTACAAAATTATTTTTATTCATGTTAATAAAACACAATTTGATCTAAATTTTATAGTGTAAATATTTTTACGAGCCTGGTATTTTTTATTCATATTAGTTTGAATAGAAGTAATACGAATATCAAACAAGTAATCTTATGATTTTCTTTTTAAAGTTAACTAATTTTATTTTTCTACGTACAACACAATTTGATCAATATATATATATATATATATATATATATATTAGAAACCTTCTTAGAAAAGTTGTAAATGTGGCAATAATTGATATACAATCTGGCCGATTGTCTGAAATAATTATTTCCACAATTTTTTAATCGACATATTTTTCTCCGAATCTTTTTGCATGACTTTAGCAACAGCCATCTCGAAATCTTCTTGAGTTACATGAACTCGTCGTTCTCTAAGAGCATACATACCAGCTTCTGTGCAGACACCCTGAATAAATAAAATTTAAAAAATTATATTGAGAAAGAGAGAGAGAAATGAAATAAATACGAGATTATATAAAATCTTTACTTTAACTTCTGCTCCTGATGCACCTGGCATAAGTTCAGCAATTTTTCTTAAATTTATACCTCTCGTTAAATTCATTTTTCTAGAATGAATTTTAAGAATATCAAGTCTGGCTTCTTCATTAGGAGGTGGAAATTCTATCTTACGATCTATACGACCTGGTCGAAGTAAAGCAGGATCTAAAATGTCTATTCTATTAGTGGCCATAATAACTTTGATATTTTTTGTTGCTTCAAAACCATCTAGTTGATTAAGTAATTCCAACATGGTTCGTTGAACCTAAATATAGGCAAATAGATCATAAATTTGATCATTTCTTATTGAATAGTATTATAAAAAATTGATAAATTATAATAATAAATATACCTCACTGTCACCACCCGATCCAGATTCAATACGAGAACTACCAATGGAATCAATTTCATCCATGAATATTATGGAAGGAGCATGTTCTCTTGCCATTACAAACAATTCACGAACCATTCTTGATCCTTCACCGATAAACTTTTGCACTAACTCTGAACCGGATACACGAATAAATGTGCATTCCGTGTGATGTGCTACGGCTCTTGCTAACAAAGTTTTTCCTGTTCCTAAAATTGTTATCAAGGATTGTGTTAATTTATTTTATCCACGTATATAAATTAACATAAATTATTATTCATATTTAATACAAAAATAAAATCTAATCGTATTCATACCTGGTGGACCATATAAAAGAACACCCTTTGGTTGAGCGATACCAAGCGCATCAAATAACTCTGGATGCTTAACAGGCAATTCGATAACCTCCTTGATTTCTTTTATTTGTTTATCTAAGCCTCCTACCATTTCATAAGTAGAATCTGGTACTTTTTCTACCATCATTAATGAAACAAGCGGATCCACTTTGTTAGGCAAAATTTTATGCAATGTATAACTTTCATTGCGCAAAGCTACTCTTGAATTTGGTGTTACATCATTAATATCAATATTTTTATCCAAATCTACCACAAATTTTCCTTCAGGATGAACTTTAACTAAAACTTTTTTTTTATCCATCGGTTTTACAACTTCTCCAACATAGGAACCTTGTTCTTGTAAAAGCTGCAACTCTTCTCGTAACATACGCACTATGAAAAATCAAAAGTGATATAATATTGCTGATAATTCTCATTTAATTCAATTTAAATTTCTTTTTAAGTGGGTAGCATTTAAATAAATACCTTTCGCATTTAATTCATTACGCTGTGCTTGCAATCTTCTTAAATTCTGACTCTTCTCTGCTACTATTAGTTGTAGTTCTTCGATCTTCGTTATATAGTACGGTTTAAAACCTTCTCCCTTTGCATTCTTCTCATCTACTTCCATCTAAATTGTAATAAAAATATAATTAAATATAAATTTGATAAAATAATTTAATACAAAAAAAATTATATATAAGGTTAAGATCTTACTTACTCTATTAGTTAGAGTCATTTTCGAAATTTTATGTTGTTCTCAATTACAATAATAAAACTCTATTCTTTTATAATTCCATTTATTTATATAAATGACAATTTATATAAATAAAAACTACGAAAGTTTAATTTCTAACTTGTTCGTATAAAAGCAACCAAGAAGTGCTTGTCACTTTGACGCCATCTTGGGATTGGCGATTTCACGTCGATTATACATGGTTGATTATTGTGATTCTAACGTCACTCGCTGATTCGTCATTATTTTAAAATCAAAGTTGATTGGTTGCTTTTTAAAAGAAATATTTTAATTGGAGAAAATTTAAGTTAATTAAAACGCTATTAAGCGTTAGTTTTTTAAAGCTTTGTTAAATTTGGGTGGGCGATTAATTTTCAAAAATATCGATATCTGGATCGATACACAAATCAAAGATTAAAATAATATAATACAAACATAATATAATAATAAATATAGTTATACAATCTATTACGTATTTTTATTGTATTTCTTTTGAAATATCTGCCAATGTGTCACGTGACTTCATCACGTGACAGATGTTTTGATGTAACATGGCGCCTTTAACATACACTGACAGTATAAGGTTAAAATTATAAAAATTGTCCGTCTAGTTATACCTAAACGGATTCAAAATTGGATGCAAGGATGCCTGTTGATATTAATCGATTGACAGAAGGTTGGCTAGAACTTGAAAGCGATCCAGGTATATATGATTTATAAATAGATGTGTAAAAAAGAACAGGCCTACACAATTGTGTATTGAAGAAATTTTTAATTGAAATTATATTTGATGTGTTATTACAGGTTGATATAATTCATTACTTACTTTACTACTCATGTTAATATTTGTAATTGATGTAACACGTAAGGTAAAAATACAGAAAAAGAAAGATAAAAATTGGCTTGGAGTAATATAGTTGAAATCAAATATGATTTAACAATTTGTACTATGTAAAAAGTTTGAAATCTAAAACAAAGAACGATTGAAGGATTAAAATACATCAAATATATTTCAGATGATATAAGCAAATTATGGCGTGGAAGAAGTTAATTATCACTGATTTCTTTATATCTTACTAGGACTGTTTACGCTTCTGTTAGAAGACTTTGGTGTTAAAGGTGTACAAGTGGAGGAAATATATGACTTACAAAAGTCTTTGGAAGGTCCCGTTTATGGGTTTATATTCTTATTTCGCTGGATAGAGGAGAGACGCTCGAGGCGTAAAGTTGTAGAACAAACGGAAAGTTTTGTAAAAGATGAAGACATTGTGAATAACATATTTTTTGCGCAACAGGTTCATTTCACTTATTAAAAGTTTACTTATAAGAGATAACTAAAAAATAAAAGTAAAATACATGCAAACAATAATACCATTACTCGTCGCATTATAAGGGTTTATTTTAATGATATTATAAATATATTTATATATAGGTTGTTCCTAATAGTTGTGCAACACATGCATTATTATCCGTCTTATTGAATTGTCCAAATATTCATTTGGGTACAACTTTATCGCGTTTAAAATTACATACGTCTGGAATGTGTCCAGAAAATAAAGGATGGGCAATAGGTAATACGCCAGAATTAGCATGCGCTCACAATTCGCATGCTATGCCACAAGCTAAAAGACGTCAGGATAAAAATACTGGAGTTTCAACTGGTAGATTTACCGGTGAAGCATTTCATTTTGTAAGTTATGTACCAATAAATGGTAGACTTTTTGAATTGGATGGTTTAAAACCATATCCTATGGATCATGGACCATGGAAGGAACACGAGGAATGGACGGAACAATTTAGAAGAGTTATTACGGATCGTTTAGGTATGGCTACGGGAGAACAATTACAAGATATAAGATTTAATTTAATGGCTGTTGTTCCTGACCGTCGTTTAGCTATTTCTCATAAATTAACTATGTTAAAAACAAATAGACAAATAGTTTTGGAAGCATTACAGCAACTTGTAAAGTTAAGCCACCAAGATAATGGAACGGAGAAAACAACAAATGATCCCGAGAAAATGGATAAATCGTGCGATAGGAAAAATAAGGTAGACGAAGAAAATCTATTATCCAATAAAACAGAAAGAGATGAATCTTCTACTATATCTATTGAGAGGAATAATGATGCTACAATTGATATTGAAGAATCGAGTTCAAATATTGGTACTACCAAAATTGATTCGAGGCAAAGTATTATTTTGCTTACAAATTACTAACATTATATAGAATTTGGCCATTTAAAAATACGAAAATAACATGTAACTTTTTTGATGATTATATATATGTATATATATATATATATATATATATTTCTATTATAGCATGGAAAAGGTAGTAATGTGCGCCTTAGATTACGCTACTCCACTTCGAATTCAGACTTCGCCAGCTCATAGTTCGTCGAGTACCGATACATCGTCTGAAATTGGATCTGCATTTAATTCACCAACACAAGGTGAGTGAAAGTATTTTTTAACATTCCTACCATATGGTTAATATATTTACTTTAACGTCTTTTAAGAAATAATTATCTATTGTCCGACCGTTCTTAATTTAATTGTTTATAGAAATACCAAACATCTGGTATATATACGTATTATATAATTTCGTCAAATTTTTAATATTGTTTTCTAGCTTGGGGTTGGAATTCAGGTCAAAGCAGTCCAACATCGACAAAAGATTTCAAAAAATTTGTCGTTATCAGAGTGGCTGGAGATGAAAAGAACGAAGCAGGTTTAAGTAAATATCATGTTTGATATTAATACTAATGAAAAGATTGTTGCTCTTTAGAAATGATTAATAAAAAGAAAATACTTATTGTGTAAGGTCGTTCTCTTGGTAACATCAATATAAATGGAAAGAGACTGGTTTCGGATAGTGGACATTTGCATAAAAAAGTCTGTTTATCCGGAGAAGTGAGAATACCGCATGCACGTGTAAAAACCAGTAATGGTGATACGGTAACAGAAGAAAAGAAAGTTGAAAAAATAGATCCAAAATTATGTTCCAAATATCCAGAACTCTTTGAGCCACATACATTTGCTCCGAAAGATCTCTTAGCATTATTGAAAAATTTGGAACACGAGATAAATACTTGCGAAACTAGTTTGAAAGATGAAAATGACAAAAGAAATAAGTATAAAGTTAGTATGTAGCGTTTCAAATAATTATGGATCATAGAGAGATGTTAAAATATTTATTGTATTATTTCAGATTGATGATTGCAGAAGGACACATAATTACGACGAGTTTATTTGTACTTTTCTTTCCATGCTGGCGCAGCAAGGCAAATTAGCTGAATTAGTCCAGCAACATCTTACCTTAAAGAAACATACATCTGTATCAGTGAGTAGAGTTCACAGGTATGCTATAGAAATGAATTAATTTTAATAGCTTATGAAATGCTTAATATATGTGGAGCAAGGAAAATTAGGTGAATGAATAGATGTTAATTTTTTAAATGTTTGTAGGTCTTCGAAGAAAGCTGATACTCGTACTAATTCTTCACGTCGACGACGTGGTAGAACTAAGTGTAAAAAACGAAAGTAATCGATATCAAGGTGACAAAATAGGCTGGTAATCATGAAAGTGATATAAGTTACAAAGTTGAATAAATTCATTTTATGGTCTATTTTAGATTAATATTATTTACATTAAAAATAAATCATAAAATGAATATTTTCAATATCTTGACTTAAAGCCATTTTTTAAATTATTGGCACAAATGTTAAAGACGTAACATTTGTTAAATACAATATTTGCTTTTTATCGTGAAGCTTTATATAACGTAGTCTTTAATATAGATACAGAATAATTAGATTTTTTATTGAAAAAAAATTTTACCATTTACAATGTTCTTTTACATTACGATTGAGCTCTGTTATTATTTATTTTGAAAGATTTAATACGAAATATTGTAAGATTTGATAAATCTCATCTCGTTTAATCATCTTTTATTCATAACAAAATTCGCACTTTTCGATTGATTATTTATTATATCGTATAGAGATTAATATATTGAGAATATTTGTTTATCAATTTTATAAGTATGATATATGATATATACTTAAGTATCAATTTTAATTTTTTTACTTCACAAGTTTATACCAATTAATGTTTAATTTGGTAATCATTTGGTATCATTTGAAGTAAATCGATTTAATTATGAAATATACGATTTTATATTAGCGAAAGATGATATATAATAATTAAAAATAAACGCAACACAAAATTGATAGATATAATTCAATACAAAATAATGAAAGAAATTATATATCACGCAAAAAGCCATTTGTTCTTTGCACGCGTAAAAAACGTTGACGATTTATATTATATATTATACTATTTCCGGTTATAAACATATATAATTATTTAAAATATGCGAATATAATAAAAAAACAACACGTTAGATAGTGAAAGACTGGATAAGAAAAATATGCGTATTAAAAATAAAGATAAAATAAAAAGTTTCGTTATATAAATATACATATATATATATATATATATAACAAAAACCTTTGTAAACTAAACAAATAGGAATATTAATGTAAAATAATGTATATGCGATAGATTTAAGATTGGAATTGTGCAGCTTTCGTCGCTTAAGACTAAACATACCGGTTTTTAATTTTGAACTATATAATTGTGCTTTTAATGTTATTGTTTTTCTTTATTTTGCTTTAAGATAACACTGTAATTATAAATAGTGTTTTATTTATTATTTATATAAACCAGTACCAAATTGACTATCGACTATTGTTTGTATTCAATTGTGAAAAATTTAATCTTTCAATTTAAATAAGTATGAATAAGTAAGTTGTAAACTGTCGGTAGGTTTATTGTTAAACGACGTAAGGGATATGAATAGGCGGAGTGAGTTTTGTCGAAATATGTACAATAAAAAATAAAGCATTAAAGTTAGCTTGTTTTCTTTTTTAAATTAATGCAAATAATTTCTGACAAATAAATACTATGATATTGACTGTCAAGGATTTCTTTGATAGAGCAGCGTATCTCAACATATATATATATATATA